CGTTCTACAAAAAAGACATCTACACATGCGTGTTTATTGCTGCACTATTCACAATAGCAAAAACATGGAACCAACCCTACTGCCCATCAGAAGCAGACAGGATAAAGAAAATGTGGTACATATACACGATGGAATATTACCCAGCCATAAAGAAGGACAAAAATCAAGGCTTTCTCAGCAAATTGGACGGAGTTGGAGAAATCATTCTTAGTGACCTATCATCGAAAAAAAGAACTGAATACCACATGTTCTCACTTCACTCATAATGGGACCTAGACATTAATCAGAATAACACAAGTGAGGGTCTGCCGGAGGAGGGAGGATTGGGGTAGGGAACATGTAACAACACAAAGCATAACTTATTCTAAAGCAGAGGATTGTGGACAAGTTGGAGGCCCGAACTTCACCTGCACATACATTACTTATGTAATGAATCCTGATTTGTACCCAACATCTTTGTAATACAATAAAGCAAAAGATAAAATAAAATAAATAGATCAAAAATAATCAAGGAAATCGACTTAGTCATAAGAAACTACTGTGAAAAAAACCCCCCAAAACAAAAACAAAACAACCCCTGGACCAGATGGTTTGCTAGCTGAATTCTACAAGACATACAAAAAAGAGTTGATACCAATCTTATTGAAAGAATTCCAAGTGGTCAAGATTGATGGAATTTCCCCAACTCATTTTATGAAGCTAACATTATACTTATACCCAGACCTGGCAAAGACCCAACAAGGAAAGAGAATGCAGGCCAATCTCCGTGATGAACATAGGTGCAAAAATTCTCAATAAAATTCTAGGAAATTAGATTCAAGATCATCCACCATGACCAGGTGGGCTTTATTCCTGGAATGCACAGCTGGTTTAACATTCACAAGAGCGAAAATAATTCAGCACACTGACAGATGTAAAATCAAGAACCACATGATTAAATCATTAGACACAGAAAAAGCATAAGGCAAAATCCAATCTGCCTTCTTGATAAGCAGCTAGGCATAGAAGGAACATTTCTCCAAACAGTAAGAGCCACCTACAATAAACCCACAGCCAACATTTCGCTCAGTGGGCAGAAGCTGGAGGCATTCCCCCTAAGAACTGGAACAAGACAAGGATGCCTACTCTCACTCCTCCTATTTGACATAGTGCTGGAAGGCCTAGTCAGAACAACTGGACAAGAGAAGGAAATCAGGGGTATCCAAATAGAAAAAGAGGAAGTTAAGCTATCCTTGTTTGTGGATGGTATGATTCTTTTCTTTTCTTTTCTTTTTTGGGTTGGAGTCTCACTTCATTGCCCAGGCTGGAATGGTGCAGTGGCACACTCACGGCCACTCCAGCGTCGACCTGCAGGACTCCGGTGATCCTTTCACCTCAGCCTTCCAAGTAGCCAGAACTACAGGTGCGTGTTACCGCACTTGGCTAAATTTTGATTTATTGTAGAGATGAGGTCTCGCCAAGTTGCCCAGGCTGGTCTTAAACCCGCGGGCTCAGGCAATCCACTTGCCTCACCCTCCCAAAGTGCTGGGATTACAGGCTGAGCCACCAAGTCTGGCCTGGTATGATTCTATACCTAGAAAACCCTAGTGAGTCTGTCAAAAGTCTCCTCACACTGGCAAATGACTTCAGCAAAGTGAGAATACAAAATCAACATGGAAAAGACAGTTTCCTTTCTATACACCAGCAACAACCAGGTGGAGAACCAAATAAAAAACACAATCTCATTCACAATAGTCACACAATAAAAGAAATACCTTGGCATCCTCCTAACCAGAGAAGTGAAAAACCTTTACAATGAGAATTACAAAATGCTGTTAGAAGAAATCAAGGATCATAGAAACAAATGGAAAGACATCCCATGCAAATCAATTAGAAGGATTAATATTGTCAAGATATTCATCCTTCCCATGGTAATATACAGATTCAATGCAATACCTATCAAATTAACAACATCATTTTTCACAGACCTGAAAATGACAATACAGAAATTCATATGGAAACAAAAAAGAGCATAAATAGCCCAAACAATCTTCAACAGCTGGAACAAAGCAGGAACTTCCAGATTTTAAGATTTATTATAAGGTTGCAGTAACCAAGACGGCATGGTATTGGTATAGGAATAGGCACATAGACCGATGGAACAGAACAGAGATTCCAAAAGTAAAAACAAGGTCTCTCAATCAACTTATCTTTGACAAAGCCACCAATAACAATCATTGAGGGAAGGAGCCCAAATTTAGCAAATGGTGTTGGGAAAACTGGCTAACTACATGCAAAAGAATGATGCTGGACCTTTACCTGTCATCATACTAAAATCAACTCAAAATGGAACAACGACCTAAATGTAAAATCTCAAACTATAAGAATCCTAGAAGAAAACGCAGGAAATACCCTTATGCACATTGGATTAGGCAATGAATCTTGACCAAGTTCCCAAAAGCAAATGCCATAAAAGTCAAGATAGACAAATGGGACCTCATCAAGCTGAAAAGTTTTTGTACAGCAAAATAAATAATCAAGAAAGTAGAGAGACAACCCAAGAATGGAAAAAAAGTGTTTGTAAAGCTTGCATCTGACAACCAGGATCTACAAGGAACTCAAATGAAGTTAAAGGAAAGAAATAAATTAAAAATTGGGTGAAGGACATGAGCAGACACTTCTCAAAAGATGACATGCAAGCAGCCAACAGACCCATGAAAAACTGCTCAGTCTCACTAATCATCAGAGAAACGCAAATCAAAACTCCAATGAGAATACAACCTAACTCTAGTAAGGATGATTATTTTTACTAAGTCAAAAAACCACAGGTACTGGCAGGGGTGCAGAGAAAAAGGAATGCTTCTATAATATTGGTGGGAAAGCAATCTAATTCAACCTCTATGGAAAATAGTGTGATGGTTTCAAAAAGAAGTAAAAATTGATCTTTCATTCAATTTAACAATCCTCCTGAGAATCTATCTGGAGGAACATAAATCACTCTACCAAAAAAGACACTTGCACTTGCATGTTTATTGTTGCACTATTCACAACAACCAAAATGTGGAACCAACCCTACTACTCATCAAAAGTAGACTGGAGAAAGAAAATGTGGTAAGTATACAATGAAGTATTATGCAGCCATAAGGAGGAACAAAATCATGAACTTAACAGCAGCTTTGGTGGAGTTGGAGACCATCATACTACGTGAACTATCACTGAAACCAAGATGTGAATACCACATGTTCTCACTCATACACGGGCCCCGGTCACTAATTATATTAGCACAAAGGTGGTATTGGCAGTTGCTGGACACTGCTAAGGAGAGAGAAAGGGAGGAGAGGGTGCATGTGACAACCAAAGTGTACCTGGTTTGCTACCGGGGGAGTGACAGCCAGTTAGAAGCCCAAACTTCACCTGCATGTAGCCCACTTATGTACTTAATTCACACCTGTACTCCACAACTCTATAAGTAAGTTCATGTTTAAAAAGAATGCTTATGATTGTTTGTAGTAGAATTTGCATCCCAGCTGCCCTAAAATCTCTGCCAGATAATTGTAGTACCTGTGTCATCTTGGTATTGGTGCGTTTTTGCATATGAGTTGACATTTTTCTGGTGATTAATATTCTGAGTATTCATATCATATGCTGGACATTTTACATATTACATGAGATATTCTCCTCTCTTATTTAAGTTCTTTGGAGAATGTTCATATTTTTGTTTTGGTATACAGATGACTACTGGTTAATTTCAGGTCACAAATTCCAACCTGTTTTCTGTGGCTATGGGTTCAGTGTCACACCAGTTTTTAAAGTCTTTACCATTCCCTGGATCCTCTTTTTTGGTTCTTTGGATTTAATTGTCCTCCTGTTGCACTGTGCCTTTCTGCAGTCTTCCTGTTTGGAAGGAAAACCATATTGAAAACTAGGTCTACCAAACAGAAGTGAGCATTCTTCATTTCAGAGTGTTGGCTCCTGTATGCTCCTGTTCTCAGGCATTAGGGTAAAAGAAAATAGAAAAATGAAAATTTTAAAAAGTGGTAGAATGTCTGAACCTTCTTTGTATGTTAGGAATTCCCTTTCCTGATTCCTGAACTGTAACTAAAGGTCTTCTACTGAGCCTCCTGTGTCTGAGGTCTTGTGCCTATTTCCAGTTTTCAGGTGCATTGAGTTCTGGCTGTGGGGTCATGGAGGAGGAAAACGGTAAACTCACTGGTACTTGGTGTTACTTTAAACTTTGGTTTTCCTTCCCCTTCTCCTTATACTGTTTACTTTTCAAACTTCATATAACTGTTTCATGCAGTCTGTTAAAGTTTTATTGTTGCATGCAGTAGGAGAGACTGAATGGTACGGATTACTCTGTCTTGCCTGGAACTAGACATTTTGATTTGATTTCTGTACAACACTCTCCTTTTATCCATGGTTTCGCTTTCTGTGGCTCCAGTTATCCGAGTCAGCTGTTGTCCAGAAACATTATATGCAACATTCCAGAAAGAAACAATTCATAAGTTTTAAATTGTGTACTTGTTCTGAGTAGTGTGACAAAATCTCCCACTGTCTCACTCCATCTCATTCAGGATGTGGATCATCCCTTTGTCTAGTGGATGCACTCTGTAGATGCTCATTGTCTATGAGTCACTTAGTAGCTGTATCAGTGTTCAGACCAACTGTCATAGTACCACAGTACTTGTGTTCAAGTAACCCTTATTTAATTCAATGGCAGCTTCAAAGTGCAAGAGTAGTCATGGTGGCAATTTGGATATCCAGAAAAGCTGCAAAGTGCTACCTTTAAGTGAAAAGGTGAAAGTTCTCAACTTAATAAGGAAACAAAAAAAATTGTATGCTGAGTTTGCTAAGATCTATAAAAAGAAAAAATCTCTATGTGAAATCGTGAAGAATGTATTGTTATGATTGTTCTATTTTATTGTTAGTTATTGTTACCCTCTTACAATGCCTAATTTAAAAATTAGTCTTTATTATAGTATGTGTACTTGGCACCTAAAATTTGGTTTTCTTTTGTTCAGTGACACTATACGAAGTGTACATAGCAACGGGTGAGCTATGGAATGCTGGAACAGCAGCAAATGTCTACATTTCTATTCATGGGGAAAAGGGAGATACAGGATCCAGACAACTACTTAGATCAAAGAGCTCCTTCAGTTTTTTAAGAGGACAAGTAAGTGATAAGTCCTTTGTCTGATCTTTAAAAGATGAATAGTGGTTAAAAAAAAAACCTTTAAATTTACCATTTTAACTATCTTCACTGTAGAACTTACTAGTATTAAGTATTCACATTTTTGTTCAACAGATCTTCAGAATATTTTCCGAAACTGAATATTTCCCCAAACTTACTAGTATTAAGTATTCACATTTTTGTTCAACAGATCTTCAGAATATCTTCCCAAACTGGAAACCTATAGTTATTAAATAACAGCTCCTCATTTCTCTCTCCCTTCCGTCCCCAGCACCCACCATTTTGCTTTGTTTCTACATATTTAACTACTTTCGAAATTTCATGTAAGTGAAATCATATAGTAATTGTCTTTTTGTGATTGGCTTATTTCACTTAGCATAATCTCCTCAAGTTTCATCCATGTTGTAGCATGTGAAAGGATTTCCTTTCTTTTTGAGACATATATATGCATATATGTATATATATGTATATTTCACATACATACACTTTACTCTTGAATATTGTGAATAATGCTACTATGTGCATAGGTATACATATATCTATATGAGACCATCCTTTCAATTATTTTGGATATACAGAGGTGCCAAAAAAAGTATACACATTTTTAAGAAATGAAAAAAAAACTGTATTAAAATTGTAACACTCAATATGTACTGATAACAAATATACTGATAACAAAGATGAATACAAGTCACCTTTGCTTTCTGCAATTACAAAGAGGTGCGCGAAGTGGTTACCATTAGCATCCAGACGCTTCTGATTATGGTGAACTACTGAAGGACTTATTGCTGTGGGAGGCCTCCCGGATCTTCCCTTGTGCACATCACACACAGTATCGTGCAGTTCAAACTTATCACGAATAAGTGCAGTTGTTAGGGGTGTTGGAGGTTCTGTTGCATACGCTTGCCTGCATTGTCATTGTACTTGCACAGCATTTCCAAATTTCAAATACCGCTTCAAAAAGGTCTTGTGCTCCTCGAATGACAGCTGTGCTTCTGCCATTTTCTTGACTGTCCCGCCTGTCTCATGGTGAGTTAATGCCATCTTCTGAGCAAATGTCATACTACACACTGCTACCATAATTCAATTCAACTTTGGAAAGTAATACATAGATAACAGCTCTTAAAATGAGTATGCATTTTTGGGATTACTGGATTATGTGTTGGCTTGTTTTTAATTTTTTTGAGAAACTGCCATACTACTTTCCATAGCAGTTGCACCATTTTGAAGTCCTACTAACAGTGCACTAGGGTTCCAATTTCTCCACTTTCTTGCCTTGTTAATTTTTGTTGTAGTAACCATCCCAGTGGGTATGAAGTGATATTTCATGGCACTTTTGATATACATTTCTCTAATGAAGAGTGATGGTGAGCATCTTTCATAGGCTTGTGAACTATTTGCATATAGTCTTTGGAGAAATGTGTACTTAAGCCCCTTGTCCATTTTTGAATATATATATATTTCTTTTTGTTGTGGAATTGCTTAAGTTCTTTGTATATTTTGAATCTCAACTCCCTATATTTTCTATCTTTTTGTTGGAATTCTCACTTTGTTCATTAATTGCTCCTGTGATCTCAGTGATCTCATCTTTTGACTGTTATTTTGAATTCTCTGTAGAGTAAATCACTTATCTCTATTTCATTAAGGTTAATTTCCGGAATTTTATTTTCTTCTTTTGTTTGGAGCATACTTCCCTGTTTCTTCATTTTCTTTGACTCTCTATATTGGTTATATGCATTAGATAAGATAGCCACCTCTCTCAGTTTTGTCACATTGGCTTCATGTCAAAATGAGCCTCAGTAATCAACTAGGGCAGAGATTTAGGGTGCCTTTCAAACCTTTGTGTTTGTCGAAATGACTGTTTTTATTTTTAGTGGCTCCAAAGAGATTAGGGTGTTCCAAGGCCTATCAGTACCTTGAGATAGGTAAGGTAGAAGTCAGTTTCTTGAGAAGCAGCTGGAAAAGATGAGGCACTAGATATGGGACCCAATTTCTTTATTCTTAGAGAGAACCTGGGAGCTGGAGCTTATCTCTCACTCTCTCTGCCTTAATCTGGAAGAGGATCTGTGGCAAATGCTAGCACTCCTGTTTAGACCACACAGTTGCTTTGCTCCCTGTTGCCCCCAGGAGCCTAGCAAATGACTGATTCTATAAACTCTGGGAGACAGGTGGGTTAGCTGGAGACTTGGCTCTATCTCTGGAACGAGTCAGCGACAAGAGCTGCATGAAGTGCCCATAAAAGTGTTTAGGCATGGACATCTAGAAAAACTTAGAACATTAGGTGTGCGGTCAAACCCCCTTCAGAAAGAAACTGGGTGCAGGGGGTTTTTGTCTGTTTGCTCTGCACGAAGCCAGGGGAAATAGCTTCTGGGAGTGCTCCTGTGCTTGTTTAAATCACCTCTTCATTCTCTGTGGTCTTGAGGGTACTTGAGAATCCCAGCCCCATCATCTTCCAGAGGTAGATGATTTAGGGGTCAGTCCCTTGGGTGGAAACTGTAAAAGATGGGCGCTCGATGTATGGACACACTCCTTTTTGGGAGATTGGTTTTATCCCTGGAGTGCACCGTGGAAGAAGGCATGTTTGTACAAGCTCACAAAGGACTTCAATTACCTGCCTTTTCACTGACCAGATGCAGGCTAATTAGAAGCCCAATTCTGGGGCAACAGCTGGGAAAGTGTACTTATCCAGTGAGAAAATGGGACCTGGATATTTTTGCCGGCCTTCCCTGAGCTGAGCTTGCTAGAAGGATGGCTGCTAGAAGGGTTCCTGTGCTTATTTCCAGTTGCCTCTTTGTCTTCTGTGGTCCCAGGAAATTCTCAAATGCTGAGCCCTTACATTTTCAGAGTTAGGTAGTTTAAGAACCAATTCTTCAGGTAGGAGCTATAAAAGTTAGAGTGTTTGATGTGTGGACAGACTCTTCAAGCTGGAGACTTGATTTTATTGCCGAAGTGAGTTAGGGTGAGAGGGAGGGGAAGTGCCCACATGCCCATTCAAGCTCTGGGAGGTTTACTAATTACTTGTAGGTTCCTGTATGTAGGCTAGTTAGAAGCCCAACCCTTAGGCAGCAGCTGGGATTGTGCACAATCTCCTTCTTGGGAGAAACAGAGTTACACGTTTTTCTCTGTTCACTCTGTACTGAGTCCAGGGGGATAGATGCCTAATTAAAGCTACCACCATGATTTCTGTGGTTTCAGGGGATTTTCAAATGCCAAGCCCCATCTGTTTCCAGAGATAGTTGATTTAGGATCTGGTCCCTTGGGTGGTAACCATAAAAGTTGGGGTGCTATACATGTGATCCAAACACTTCACTCCTCAAGGAGAAACTGGAGAAGCCCCTGACTGTGCAGTGCTATTTTTGGGGTGAGGTTTGTGGCATGAGCTTTTCTTACCTGTTTTGATGTAGCTATTTTTTTCAGTTGCTCCGTGTGTAGAAATCTCTCAGCAAGTGCCTGGATTTCTCTCCAAGGAAATTGATTTATTTGTAGTTGCTTATTCAGTGTCTCCATGAAAGGAATGAAAGTCAGGATCCTCCTATTTTGCCATATTTCTGATGTCATCCAACCCAGTGATTGCTTAATTTACACTTATTTGTGAAATTAGTATTCCAGTCTCCTGCTGTTGTTTTCTAGCTTTGTTCCACCATGATTAGAAACACTACTTTATTTTATTTTAACTTTCTTTACTTTATTAAGACTTGTTTGTGTCCTAATTGTAATTTGTCCTGGATAATGTTCCATGTGTGTTGGTGGTTCTATATATGTCAGTTAGTTTCAGTTGGTCTATGGTGTTGTTAGTTCTCTGTTTCCTCATTGATCTTTTGTTTCATTGTCATGTACATTATTGATAGTGGGGCATTGAAGTCTCCTATTATTTTTGTGTTGCTTTCTATTTATCCCTTCAATTTGGAAAATGTTTGCTTTATAAATAAGGCAAACTCTGATGTTAGGTTCATATATATTTATGAATGTTATATTTTCCTGGTGAATTCACCCTATTATCATTATATAATAATGTCTTTGTCTCTTGTGACAATTTTAAAATTAAAGTCTGTTTTGTCTGATGTAATTATGTATTATCCTACCTTCTCCTTTAGGATTCCATTTTCATGGTATCTTTTTTTCCCATCTTTTTACTTTCATCCTATGTGTGTTCTTAGATCTAAAGTGAATCTCTTATAGATAACACATAGATCTTGGTTTTTAAAAATTTCAGCTTCTTTAGTTTAAATTATGGAGTTGATCAATTTACATTTAAATACATTACTGATAGAAAAAGACTTACAATTGTCTTTTAGTTAATTGTTTTTATAAATCTTTGAGTTTTTTTCTCCTTTTTTTCCCTCTTACAGCCTTCATTTGTTTCTCATTGACCTTCCTGTAGTGACCCACTTTGATTTTTTTCTCCTTTCCATTTGTGTGTGTTTTATAGATATTTTCATTGTGGTTACTGTTATGATTATATAAAACGTCTTAAAGTTATGACAGTCTATTTTAGATGGATAACTGTTTAACTTCAATTGCATATAAAAATTATTCTCCTTCACAGTTCCACCTTCCACTTTATGTTATTGATGTCAGAAATTACATCTTTATATATTGTATACTTACTGTTCTCTTTTAAATTCTATACAATAATTAAAAGTAGATTTATGCACCAAAATTACAGCAACGAAAGTTTCTATGTTTGTCCATGTGTTTCCTTTACTGTAGAATGCTATATTTTCATATGGTTTCATGTTGCTATCTAGTATCCTTTTGTTTCAGCTCGAAGGACTTCTTTAGCACCTCTTGTATTGTATTTCCAGTAGTAATGAACTTACTCAGATTTTGTTTATCTGGGAGAGTCTTCATTTCTCCTTCATTTCTGATGGACAGTTTTGCTTGATGTATAATTTTGGTTGACAGTTTTTTTTTTAAATTTCAGTGTCTTGAATATATCATCCCATGGCTTTTAGCCTGCATGGTTGCTATTTAAATCCACT